ACCCTGAACGCGGTAGACTAATCTGGTGCAGTGACGAATCCGATCACTGACCGATATGGACGTTTCGGTCGAACTGCTGACACCCGAAACGTCGGTCCTGGTCAGTCATTGGATTGACCCCTTTTTGCGTTTTGTATAAAATAAATCATTTTACGCCATTTTTCGGTATGGCTACAACATGAACCCAATACCCCATCTACCTGCACTGAATAGTAGCTGAATACACGGGTGGTGCATACCATATCTGTAAAGTATATGAAATTTGCCACACGTACTGCACAAATACAATACGTATGGAATATAAGCCATACGTATTGAGCAATTATGCAGCCTAAGTATGAATTATAATTATATTGCATAGCTACTAACAAAATATTCTGTGGCTGATTATACAGTATATAAGCAGTATGCGTTTATGACCAACCAGTGATTATGTTCACCACACGTGTCACCTGTAACATCTATCTCGTATATGTAATACAACATCGGTAACTCTATATACTACGCAAAATATGTATACAGATTACATGCTATATATGTCGTCGTCATCATCATCAGCCATTTTTGATTCACTGCTGGAAGAAAACCTCTTTAAGACTTTGCCATAAAATGTTGCTTGCTGCGAAACTGATTCGTCTTCATTTAACGGACTTCTTCACCTCATCGAGCCATCGATCTGGAGGTATTTCTGCGATCTGTGTGTAGTGTATGCCCTTCCCAGTGTTGCCGAAGACCAGTTGCATGCATGTCTTCATGCGGCTCTTGATTTTTTCCCGCTATACCAGTTTTCGATTGTAGCCAGTGACGTCAACGCCGACCACGACAGATGACCCACTCCATAAGCTAGGTTGTTTAGTCATCAGCGGGACGCTGTTTCCCCATGGTTGCATCCATCAGCAGATGTGCATATGCGGTCAGCGACAAATGGCAGAATGCGCTACATACACTCAGGCGAAACGAGTTGCATACATCGGAACTGACCATTGGCTAGTAGTCGTGAAACTCCGCCTTTATTTGGCTGTTGTTGGAAGAACATCTCGGACAGGAGGGACGATCGTTTTGGCACGCACAAATTGAAGGAGCCTGCGAGTTGCCAGGAGTCTTTATCTTCATCTTCCATGGCCGCTTCTCCTTTCCGGTCGCGGAGACAGACGCGTCAGACAGAGCTCGATCCTGTGCCAGAGTCTGAGCTTCGACAAAAGACAAATGCAGTCTGCAACAGACTCCTTCCATATGTTTGCACCAGGTTAATCTTGGCCGTCCCCTGGGCCTTCAGCCGATCCTATTTGCAAA